TTCGGACAGTTCACTCACGCACTGAATCGTTTGGACGGGTTTTTCTCACCATAACGGGATCCTTTAAAACCCACATCGGCGATGAAGCAGCTCTTTAGAGCTTGTGAATGAGCAACACACAGTATTGCAGGAAAAGACCATTTATATCCATATATTGAAACATTAAATATGAGTATTATAATATGGGGACACTTTGTGATGGGGCTGTGTCATAGTACTTATGAAAGGCTAGAAACGCCTTTCAATGATTCACTCACTTGTTTCGTTGCTGAACAAATCGACGTCTTTGAGTGAATCGGTTGAATCGATGATTCACTCATAAAAAGCACACACTTGTTTACTTGCTGGATGAAGGTGTGTTTTTGAACGAATCGATTGCATGGATGATTCAGTGACTCTTTCCGGAATGAATCAGACACTTGATTCGTTCCTGAACGAATCAGCATTTTGACTCACTCGTAATGGCAGTCACTTGTTTCATTCCTGAAACAAGCAGTGCTTTTGAATGATTCAATGATTCACTCATAAAGACAGTTGTTGGTTTCCATCCAGTTTGAATTAACGGTTTTGAATGAATTAGTTGAATTAATTCAAATGAATTATATACATTATGTAGTGATGTTGTACTGAGGTTCCATGATTAACAGTGTATGATACACATTATTTTGAAGCTTTTCAGCTCACCTTTGCAGACGACACTGACTCCGCTCCAGGTACCGTTCTCATGGCACACACGTGTTCCCGGTCCTATCATGCGATAACCCTGAGAACAGGTGAAATGGACCTCATGACCCACCAGGTACTTTGAGCCAAACTTCCTCCCGTGGGCCGGAGCCAACAGAGGTGGACAGGAGGATTGAGCTAAAGATGACATGAGAGGAGAAACACATAAAGAGAGAGGAATGTCAGAGTAGAACAGGGTTAAATGAGGGCCAGGAGTCCTGTGCTGAAATGCTGGGATATTTTGCCTGAAGGCAGGCATGTGTTACTCTGAATGTGGGAACAGTCATGAGAAAAGATGGGAAATGACTTATTTCATACAGACAGAATATGCGAAGAATACAGAAAAACAAGACCTGGCGCTTGTATGTTGTTTATGTCGTATTGAAGTAAACATGAAATCGAGGTCGACTCTATATGCTTTATTAATACACATTCCTGGTCATATTGTGTACAATTAATGCACAAATAAAAGAAAAAGAAAGTTTGCTTTTGTACATCAAAATGCTAGAACTTGCTTCTGAAAGTCTTCAAATAATCAAAGCCTCTTATTTCTCAACCAGAGTTTTTATAGTTAAAACAGGAGTTTTATAGCTAAAAATATATATACATATTTTTGTTACTTAACTGATATAAACCTTAACTGAAACAAAATAAAATATAAAAAAACGGAAACTTACTTTAATTCAGCTCATTGCCAAGGCAACGTTTCTCATTTTCATTTAGTATAACCTGATGTACTAAAATGACAAATAAAAAAAATGACAAAAATACATAACTTAAAGGTAAATGTAATGTTACTAAAAATTCAAATGAAAACATATAATGAAAAAATATAAAAATAAATACATTTTAAAAAAATAAATAAAAAAAACAATGTTTTCAATCCTGCTCTATATATTTTTTTCTTGAATATTCTGTTTTATTCCAAACCATGTCACATTACAGAGGTAAATTAGACTGTTGGTTTTAAACTTTAAACTAAACCAGCTCTGTAAAATCTTAAATATCTCCAAAATATCTAAAAAAAATAAATAAAAAAAAGAATTGTGGTATTATTTAAAAAAAAAAACAATACCATTTTCTGTAAATGTAACATTCAAAGTCACATTTAAACCTGTAAATGCCTTTCTCTTATATAATATGTGAAAGGAAACAGCAGATGGATTGATGAACAGCATGATGGATTAATAATAATAATAATAATAATAAGTCTGGATAAAACTGACACTCAGAGCAAAAAAAAAATATATATATATATACAGTGAGCATGTTGTTAGAGGCACTTGTTTTTCTTAAGTCACATTGGGAAATGAGAAGAATGCACAATCCTATCACTTCAGTGCTTTGATGAGCTCTCATCAACTAAGATGATCTGTAGTTTGTCAAAGAATCTACTTAATTTTGTCCTGCCAAGCACTGGCTGCTACGAATGCCAAAGTAACCCTTGATCATTCCTGCCGCCAAGCCCGGTTCATGAACTGTGCAAACAGCTTGGGCCAAATGACACAGCTACACATCCGACCCGTTCACATCATCCGTAGAGTGCTGAGCGTAATCGAGAGCCTGGACTCCTTTCCAAACCTGAAGAAGCAGCCAGACCACTCTTTTTAAAGGAAGGAAGTCATTTTATGCTTATAAAATACAAATAGATTTCGAGAGATCTTTGATTTGTTGGAATTCTGAAGCTCATTTATTAGGATTAATAAATCCTCTATGTGAGAATTACTTTCCAAAAACACATTTTTTATTGGCTAAATACTTTTGTCGCCAAATGACACACACTCTTTCATTCAATAAACACATTGCAGAGCAAAAATACATGAGAAAGTGAATGAAAAAACTGAATTCATTTTCCTAATTCCAATAAAAGACTTTAGCCAGACATCATATTTACTGTAAAGCTGAAGTGTATCATTTTTTCTGTGGTCAAATATTTTCTCCTATCCTAGTTTCATATGCAAAAACATTGCTCTGTTTGCATCCCGATGCAGCAACATTGACTCAACCATTGGCACAATCAATATTTTCACAATTTTGTTTGGTGGCGCTAGAGGTGCAGACTTTTTATGT